GTAACAACCCAAGTGATCCATTTCTTTGTATGTATGGATCACTTGGGTTGTTACCGACATCTGGTGAAAATTTCATGTCATTAGCACCTCTAGTAATATATTTACTGAGAAAAATGGTGACGTGTTCAATACTTATTTTACCCGCTGTATTTCTTCCGCACTGATTCTGTTCTTTTATCACTTGTATTGTCTCCTTTTTAGGTTACACGATAGCAAGAGAGCCCCCGAGCCGTACAGGGACCTGGAGGAGGGTGGATGACTCAGACAAGCTTACAGTACGACRGTGGAAAGAAAGGACCACTGTCAGGACATCTGTCACAAACCAAATGGATAAAATGTACTCATCAGAAACTATGTGCACCATTTGGAGCCACACATGCAGTATATTTATTGAACTTACTGATGAGCCTAAGGGACTTCAATCAAGGCACACATAGACAACAAAGCTACTCCTATTTTCTAACAAAAGTCTGTGTAGATTGATAAACACTGATGAGGCTTTTTAAGCGATATATTTCAGCCAAACATTTAGGTTTGGGTGGAAACGTTAGCAAAAAAGAAAAAAAAAAAAGGTGGATCTTCTGATTGTGTTGCTGGATTTGGTTGAAATGTAGAACTTACACTGGAAACTCTGGACACGTTTTGGGAACAATGAAACCGACATAAGCTCATGAGTAGAAAATAGCAAATTAGCATCAGCTGCTCTTGTGGGTCGAGTCACTACCATGAAGACTGTTTTTGCAGAAGTCATTTAGCAGTTCCAATTAGGGGACTGCAGTAGGACCATAACAACGTATTAAAAATTTATGTAGGATATTTGCACTAGTCAGAACCATTTGGGAATGTTTTGTTTTCCAAGCTATCGCACATGTTCTGCTGTGGATCTTAGAAAAAAAAAAAGAAAAAAAAAGAAAAGAAACAACTTGGAGGTGAGCGTTTTGTAAAATGTCTGACGTTTGACAAACTGTAGATAAATATGCATATCATACCAACACTCAATCTGAGTAGTTATTTGTTATAAAYGACTCAGACTCTTGAGCTTTGCTTTGGTACCATCTGAACTTGCACAGAGCGCCTCGTGTGTCTCGTTTTTGCTCCGACACGTTTATGAGCTCGGCCTCGGAAGTTATGTATCTTTGATGTGTGATGTTCGGTCTGCGGCGTCTTTTATGTCAACAGTTTTTAAGGAGGCTCATAAATGTTTGAGCAAAACAGTTGGTTTTGTCTTCATGTTACTATTGATTTAAAGCATTTTTTCCCTTCTCCAAGCGGTTAAAAGCACTGTAAATACAAAGCACTTATATTAATAGATTTTTTTGTAGCTATCTTTATGAGGAGATTTATGTTTCCGTGCTCAACATTTCCCATTGATTGCATCCAGAATTGCAGTAAATCAATGATTCAGGGAGATGTTCTGAAATAATTGCAGCAACCAATGCCGGCTTTGCAAACCTGATTGTTTCTCTTCCGCAGAGTCTCATCGTTGCTGGGCTCAGCTTCCACGTCTTCTCCCTGCTTCGTTTCTTTAAACTTTCTCTGCTTTTCCTCCACCGCCACTGACAAAATGATGGTGCTAAAAAAGTTTGTCTCACAAATTCTTGTCTTGAACTTGAACATGTCTTTTTTTTTCAGCGTCACACTTCGAAAAGGAAGTTTTCTAATCCAAAAAAAAWTTTTTTTTGTTCCCCTCTCTCACACGGTTTCCGTCTGCCTCTGTGATGTGTGAATATGTTGGGTCAGCATGCCCACAGTGAGCCTGCTGGGGCCCTGCTCCTCTGTGACTGAGAGCCTCTACTTTCAGACATGCTGCCTTGTGAGCTATGATAAATCTTTGGGAGCCGAGCCGCTGACTCTCCAACTCCAGTGCTGAGCTCTGAGCCGGTGGGAGCTCGGGGACAGCGGGGGCTACCGGTGGCAGGCAGCTCCACTCTCTCATTACCGAGAGGCCTGGATAGCACTGGGCTCCTCCTGGGACCACTGACATGGAATATTTTTAGGCTTACGGTGCAGCACTGCTGTTAGGCTAGTCACACCACACTGCCCTCTTTCTTTGAGCAGTGTCTTAACAATAGTCTATTTAGAGGGAGAATGCAATCACATTCTGCAGCAACGCTCATGCAGAAAAAGAAACACAACTTACTTATGAATGTCTTGCTTTCACAGCACACCCATCTACACAAACTTAAGTGCGAGAGGAATCAAAGAAGAAAGTGACTTATTTTATTACACACAATGCTCTTTAAACAGTTTCCAGTCTCTGCTGTGTAATTCTGCTTTCTTTGCTCCCCTTCTAAAACAAAAAATGTTCTGTGGGTGAGCCCGATGCCCCCTCCATCCTACATGTGTTGCTGCAGCAAAATCAATATTTGAGGACTATTTGCTCTGCGCTGCTCCCTGGTGGCTGGGGTCTGGCGATGCAGCTCCATCTGCAGTTTCAGTCCAAAAGACAGAGATTCACGTCTCCTCTGGGGTCACCGATGTATTAAAGTGGAAAATCTGCAGAGTGCACTGTACATTGTGTCTGTGTTAGCCGCTCGGCGCTGCAGCAGAGTACACGCACCCTCCTCCATCCTCTGCCAATTTAAAAAAAGAAGAAGAAGAAGAAAAAAAGGAAATCGACTGAGCTTTAAAGGCCTCGAGGTATCCCCGAGAAATTCACATTACCATATCCACTTTTAATGAGATGTTACGTAGCTGGCAAATTTAGCAGACGAGTGAAAATCCGAAGGTCTTTACATTGCCCATTTCATGTAGAAATACGTTTTAAAGGCAAAAATCATACTCCGGTGCAACCCTTCAATCAAGGTTGTACCAGAGGAGTATTAAAAACTTTCAGAAAGAAAATGAAAAAAATCTATATTTTACTACTTCTCAGTTCTGTCTGAAATGATCCATTTTGCTGCCATCTTGCTTAAAATTATGCAGACGCCTGGTGTTTTGGTCTTTCCACAAGGGAAACATAATGTCAACACAGTGCTGTTTATCCCTCYGCTGCAGACTTTATACAGTATTAAACAGTAAGTATAGCTTTAGAGAAAATGACACAGGAATAGCATTAGATAGAATTGTACAGGAAATGAATCAGTCATATGCAAACACAATTATCTACTCTATTCATATCTCTTTGACTTAAACTGTATTTGCTTAAAATCACATTTGCAGTAATGTCAACTTCTATACCACAGGTTGCACAAAAACAAAAATAAATGTGCACTCTTTCCCCTCAGTTTTGGCACTTTCAACTATTTGCAAGGACAAAAAAGACAGCTATAAATGACAAAAAAAAAAGGCTTCAAATTTTATTTTCTTGCCGAGTAATCAAAAATGGCAAATCTTTCAGTCAGTTATAGTGACTGAGTGGCTTTCAGATTAGACACAAACCAGCCACCTTGCTGGCAATAGGCTAAAAAATGGTTTCGCAGTGTCTCTAAGTGGACAGTTTACTTTAAATGGGGTTCTGTGAGAGCCTATGAGTAGTAAACATCTAACCTAAAGTGAAAAATAGTCAAAAGTAAAATCTCAGCTTGGATAATTCTTGCTAGTGAGCAAAAAGACAACACACGCCATTACACTACACCAATCATCTGCTGGAATTACAATGGTCCAATCCAACATTGTGATTGGATGTGCAAATACTGTAGGTGAGAAAAGAGAAGTAGTTCTTCCTGGCACTGTATATCTGTTCAAATGACCCACATCAACTAAATAAGTGACTCTGCAAGCAACAAATAGAGCTGGACTCTGAAGTCTGAAGACTGTGTCTGTGGTGTTCATTTCCTATCAAATAAATTTAATTCTTCATTTTTAAGGCAGATTAAATTCTATTATTTGTCTCCTATATAAGCTTGTCATACTTAATACAGTACATGATATGAACTGATACTGAGACTAAGCAAACGCAACAGTCTTAGAATTTTTAAGATACTGTATTTTGGCAGGGGAAGAGCTCAGAACTCAACTCAAAATTAGCCTWATAAGTTTATTAGAATCTATTATCATTGTCTTATTAGCCTCTGGTGGCTAGTCTTTTCAGTAAGTCTCTGATAAAAGAAGCTGGAGATTTGATCAGACCTTGTTTAGATCCTGCTCTGGCTAAATGTTGATTATATTGTCAATATAAATATTTGGTCCTCTTGTGATCTTCTCAGTTCCTAGTGATCAGGCAACACGTCTTGGAGAAGCTTCATCACATGCAGCTTCCTTGCATCAAGGCTAAGTTAAATTTTTTTAGCATAATTGAACAAATCTAAATTGGCTGGTAATGGGTCAGTTTTATGGGTCCCAACAACTTGGAGACTATGCACTATTGCCTTTATTTATGAAAAGCAAAGTCAGTAGTGCACATAAACATGACCATCCCTATTAGCTTCACTATAATAAATTCTTGTTCATTCTCCAAAGTGAGTTCAAATTAACTGCTGTCTACTGCAGGTAGGACACTGACTACTCATACAATCTCCACAAAACTCCACTTAAAAACCAATAAAAAACAGCAAACAAACCTTTAAAGAAAAAAACCATTTTGACTACAAACAAGGTGTTTTTCAAGTCGTTTTGCAGCATTACCTTCTGTGGGAGAACAGTGTAACTTGCAGACTTTATGCTTAAAACACTTCATAACAGATTGAAAGTGAAGGAAAAAATAAAACAAGAGTAGCATGATCTCTTTAAACTCTGCCTTCAATACCCTTATTAGTTTGCTTCAGAAATAATGAAATAAAGCTGTTACATGAACTGTGGTAACAGACAACAKTATTTACTGGTAGAAAAAAGTATGAAAATGAGATTGTATTAAACTGAAAGGGGTTGTCTGCAGTGTGTCAGTGGGGAGCCTAACTTCAAACATGGCATCGGGAGTGGAAGCTTTCATCTCCACTTGTTAGCGACTGGTGGGACCCAGAGGGCAGGAGTCGTAAAGGCAAACAAACAGCAGGCAAGAAACTCTGGAACGTAATGAGAGGACAGACAGTTTGTGCAGGAGTGGAAAACAGAAGAACAATGAGCTGAATGGAAAAAGAAAAAAGAAAAACTGACTTGAAGAGTGTTCAAGAGAGAGAGACAGTGWGTGTGTGAGGAGTATTTTAAGTATGTCTTTGTTTATTTACTTGCCTGGGTTGTTTCYAAGAGGATTCATGCGTCATCAACCTAAACACCTCAACAGTTGTTGAAAATTTGCTCAATCAGAGATTATAGAGAAAAGTTAAAAAAATAATAATAATTGGAGGGAACTCTGTTGTCTTGGCTGATGCATCATCTTTTGTCTCGTCCAATTTGTTTTAGCCTCCAGTCATTTCCAGGGATAAAAAATAGAGTTCAGGATTCATGTTCAGTGAGAACAGTAATCTTCAGATGAAGTGAGGCTGTCAGAGGCAGAGAGGTGTGTGACAACTTGAGTCAGCACCAGACAAAAAAAGAGGTTTGTGATTGTAGAAGAAAAAGATTCTAACGCAGACTTCCTGAAACTGACASTGATTTAATACCGCTCAGGTTGGCTGATGACGACAGCCAGATTGGTGTCATTATCAGAGCTGGTGGCAGTTGCTCATCTGATTGCTGTCACTCACTTCAGAGAGAGCAAATCAAATCAAAAACACGTCTTTCTTCATTTCCACTCATTCCAAACACTATAACGTTGATTCAATTAAATAGGCTTGCCTTTTCACAAAACCCATTATTATAATTGTTTTCAGGCCATTTTTATTTATGCCTTGGGTCTCTCTAAACCACAAGTGCATTTTGTTTACAGTGCAGCACTTTAAAATAGAACAACATGGTCATAAGGTTTTATTGCCAATCACAGTTGGTTGGGTAATGATGTGGGGATTAATTGCATTAACTCATGTCTATTACCAAGCATAAAATACGTGTCAAACCCATCCTAATGCGGCCTATTAAGATTCAATGAAACCAAGAAAAAAAGAAAAAAGGCACCCAAACAATCCAAAGCGACTTTAGTATTCATTTTGCGGCAGGTCTGCAATGGACTGATATTGACAGTGGAGTGAATGAGGGATTCATTAACAAACCCCCCCACCCCCCACACAAACACACACACACCACTTCCTCTYGCTGAGCCGTTCCTTGCTGCGTCGTCAAACTCACTTATCTCTCTGAAGCAATTAGCCACTGGAGGCTCCATTGACCTGAGCCTTTGTTAGACTAACGGGTTACATTAGCATGGCCATAGCCTGGCAGTCTTGGCAATGTGTGTGCCACAGCGAATGTGAGCAGCACTGATAAAGAGGAGCCCTGCAGCATTTGTGTGTGTGTTTGTGTGTGTGTGTGTGTGTGTGTGTGTGTGTGTGTGTGTGTGTGTGTTTGACCAGATCCAGTCATTTAANGCATGGTTGTGTTTGACCAGATCCAGTCATTTAAGGATAAAAATATTAACTGGCATTTAACATAATC